TAAAATTTAGAGTTATTCTTGTTGTTTTGCTTTATCTCGATTTTCACGTTACACCTGATCCTGAAATTCGATTGGTCATTATTACAAGGGGTGGAAAAAATTTTGTGGGTCAGCTAGGGGCTTTTTCACAATACTAACGTAATATTGTAAACTTGTAATCTTATAGGTTATCGCGGAATTAAAGAATAAATCAAAATACGTACGTACGTACGTACGTGAAAAGATACACATGTAGCCAAATAATCATGCGCATGTCCAAATATATACTACATATTAAAGCTCTACAATGCGCTTGTTTGTGTTAAAACCCTTGGAAAATTTGATTGTAGAGTCAATTTTCGTTCACATGTACTGTTAAGTTATTACACTTTGTAGGATATGCGAAACACAACGATTATGGCAATTACAATCATTAGGGTTGCAATCCAGGTTGTAATTCGTAATGTCCATAACTATTATTTACGGCTGGCAACATTAAGTATTACCAAAACTCTAAATTCATTAGTCGCACCTTCCGATTAAAAAACTTTTATAATAAATCTTATTAAGAAAATGTTCTTTTGCAATAGAAAGGAACCAAACTGTTTCAGGAATTTCGGCGCGAAAATCGATTGGCATAAAAAATTTTAGGAGACTTGCACAACACCGATCACAATAAAATTGATTATCTCAAAATCACATCGATATTTTTCTACTACAAATTTAATCGTATTTTTATTTAGCTAATAATTATAACGACCTGATTTTAATTAGCATTTCATTGATGATTTTGGCGGTTATGCTAGGAGGATTAAGTCTAACGAATATATATAAATGGGTTTCTTTTTTTTGAGGTAAAATCAAGTGTAGTCTAATTCAAGTTACATATGAGTACTGACTGATAAAATAAATTTCATTATCATTTATTGGGGTCGAGTATATATGCTTTCGATTACACATCATACAATATCTTAGCATTTAGGCGGTACTCATATGACGATAGATCAATACAAAAAAGATTAGAAATTGAAACTCACTATTTCGCAAGAACTCAACGAGAACTCCCATATAAGGAGGGATACCTTTCACCTAGATCATGACAGTTATATATTCCTATTTTGATATCAAACAGACCAGCCTCTATGATTTTTAAAAGCTAGAATTTTGATGGCTTAAGGCCACTCTCCAAAAATATACCAGAATTACTTTGCAGTATTATCACTCAATGTTGGGATGTTGAACCTTGTAGAAGACCAACAATTAGAGAATTAAACAAAAGGTTTACTGTTCCTGAAATGGATAAAAAATAATCCCACGTTAGGAGAATTATGGACTTATATCAATGTTTTTTTTTTTTTTATAGTTTAGTGATGTATTTTTTCTTTTTTTGTAATTATCAAATTTACTTTATAGTATTGTGAATTGTTATTCAAACGTGCTTTATTGAATTGGAAAAGTTATAGGCAAAAACAAATAAATTCATTAAAACTCAATGATTTGGATCTAACAAACCTGATGTTATTTATCTAATACCGGTTTCCTTGACCTTTGGGACAACGATTCGCAAAGTGACCTTTTTCTCCACACTAAATAATAAAAAATGTTAATGTGTTTCAACAATCTTTACTTAAATATTAAACTTTGGAATACCTTAAAACATGTAACTTCTGCCAGTGAACGGAAGGTATTATGATGAGATCCTGTACGCTGCAGTGTTTATTGAGTCTTAATAAATTTTGTAAGTTTGTATAATGAATACAATTAAGATAAACTACCTCATCACTCTCATTAAGATTTCTGTGGAGACCATCTTCCTCATGACCATCGTGTTCTCTCTGAGCAGTTGGTAATTCATATTTTGGACTAACAAATGAATGAGTTTTAGAATAAAAAGATAAAATCAGACATAAAGGAATTTGCCAAGAGTAAAATAACTTACTGTCCGTTAGGACACTCTAATCCTTTAGGACAAAATCCGCTTAAGTACAATTGGCAAACAACTTTTCGAACGTGTTTGTGCCGACAATGAGGGCCTAATTTATAATAAAATTTAAATATTTAAAGCTCCTTTTGAAATAATAATAATAATAGAATTATAATACCAGAAAACATACCATGTTTACAAAATCCTCTGGCATACCAAGCACATTCTTTAATTTTGCTTTCAGGGTCAATATGCAAGTACATACAGTCTTCATTACTACATTCTCCGTATCTTGAATAAAACCAACATTCAGGCATTTTTCTCATATTAAATTCATGAAGGAACTCGCATTGATCTCCTTTCTTGCAAAGTCCTCGCAGCCAATGCTTACATACAACCGCTTTTTCACGAAAATTTGTTGTGTGCTTAAATTCGCATTTTGGACCTTTAGTACATGTACCTCTCAAAAAATCTTGACATATTTGATCTTTTCATAAAGAGGAAAAAACAGGGTTAGATTTTGAAAAAAAAGGTAAAAGCTGTAAATTATAACAATGGAGACAACAGTGAAAAAACGAATAAATGGGAGAAAATGTTAGCAAAGAAATGGCAAACACTCTTGGAGAATTTTACCAAAGCTCTACCTGACTCGTTGTTTGCTCCTAGGCCTAGTTCTGTTCTGATGTAATCTTCGAAATCGAAAGAATAGTTATTAGCAAAAACATGAAAGTCTGGCATTTTTTTAAGAAAAAATAAAAAGTATATGACGAATTGAGAAAATTGAGCTTTTGATCACGATCATATTGTATTACAATTGCGTGACCTATTATCTAATCATGTGGCAAACTGTCAACAATTCACAATTCTCGATACGTATATTTTTTTTACCGAAAAGTATCACTAAGAGTGATCGAGAGTTTAAAGAAGCTATGACGTATTAACAATAGCATTCCGATGCGTAATGAGGGTCAGTACATGCATTTTAATTTAACGGGTATATTGTGTTTGATCGGTCAGAAGAATACCGTTATTTGGAAAAAATTAGCGTTTATTGAATCCTTGGCAGTGTCCAGCTATCCTTAGAAACTAAAATAATACTATAGCGACAAATATTTTATTTTTGGGTTATTACTATATAGGGCTATTTTAGATGCTATTACGTATGATAGATAACTGGATATTAATTCTTTGATTTTACCATTTATGGATAATTGTAACTTACCAGTGAAGTTGATTTGAAACTTTGTCTATTAAAAAAACGAAACCCTATTTTTTTTTAATTACCCGCTTTATTCTACTTTTATTTAAAACTCATAACGCCAAACCTATAAATTTCATCAAATTATTTTTTACAAACGCTAAACAAGCAAAAATGCAATATGCTTATTATGCATATAATTCGTGATCCCCTTAATTGCCTCATTTGTTATTTATTTATATGGGTTAGCTGCCGAATTCTGACAATTTGATAAATTTGATCGGCCTTCACACTGTGTTTAATGTTAGCAATATTCCACGTATTAAACTAGTTATTGCTTGCATATTGTATTAATTCCCCAAACAAGCTTTCGAAATATATTTGTCTTTCTTTGCTTTGAATTTTTATAAGAGAATTTCGTCTCTTCCCCTCTTTTTTTTTTTTTATTTTCGTTTTATACACAAAGGGGCCTATATCACCTGATATAGTGTCTTTATTTTGTGACACTAATTAAGATTAGTTGTAATACTATATAGGTGAGGTAAGTTCATAGATCGTTTTCCATTATATTTTTTTTCAATTTCTTTTTAGCAGAAGTACGAGCAACATACCGTAGTGCAAGACTAGAACAGGCTTGGACGTCGTGTCATGTTACTTGAACGTTCGCATTATTTTTTTTATAATTTTTTTTTTTAGTGAGGAATGTTATACTAACGGGTTTCTCTTTTAACCAACATTTTTTTTTACTTAGTGAAAGCAAGGTCTCTCACTCCTTATTAAATTCTCTTCGAAATAGAACATTTTCATGTTTAAAAATACACCAAAAACGGATCGTTATGTATAATTCAAGTCAGAGAAACCAATATTACAATGGCAATTCTGACAACAATTTAGGCTCGTATAGGGGTGACCGTAATTACGAACCACAAGTTGTAAATAGAAATTATTCACACAGAGGTCAGGAATATACACCTAATGTTCAAACACAAGGATTAAACGATGCATACGGAGGCAATCGTGGAAATTATTCAAATAATCGTTCAAATAGAGGTAAGGAATAGAATTGTGAAAATAAATTTTTTTGTTATTCAGACATAGTTCACATATTTTGAAATTCACAGTAAAAATTAAAAATGGGAACCATGAAAGCAGAGAAAACATGAAATAATGATTTAATTATGTAATAATGCCCATAAAATTTAACAATTGTTTAGACGCCCGCTCTGCTGCTGCTGGCACGTGGCGTACGCGTGCAAAAGATGATGACGATAATACCTCTTTAGGTTCATCGGTTTATTCCCAACCTAGTGTTCTTGGTGACGGTAGTTCAAATTTGAAACGACACAATACTACTGAATCACGTCGTCAAGAACCATTATATGAAGATGAGGAAGAAGAACAAGAATATAAAGATTATTATGAACCGATAGAATATCCTCCTTCACCTCACGCAGGTTCTGTTACAACTCGTGGTAGTACTACCGCCTTAACCTCAGGGAACACCCAACCCTTATATGACCAACACGAAAAAAATTATAACAATCAACAATATTACCGTGATTTTAACCAAGGACCACCAGAACAATTTGATGTTTACAATGATTTCAATAATAACCTTCGTTCATATAATCACAATGAAGAAATTTCATCTAATCCATCCAGTGGTGCGTTGGCAGGTTCCAATGCTTATTCTAAAAATAATCTTAGTGGGAAGGATTACGATCTCCCCGGTGAAGAAAAAGGTGATCGTCATTCGACTGCTGGAGAACATTTAGTAATTCAACAGAAACGGAGGGGTCGTTGTTGTTGTTGTTGTTCAAAAAAATTATGTGTTATAATTACATTTGTAATTTTAATTATTTTGGGTGCCGGCGCATTCTTCGTTTGGCCTCGTATTCCTTCATTTACTTTCCCAGGAGATAAAACTTTTCCATCACCCGATAAAACACCAACTTTTAGCATGGATCCGTCACCAATTGTCAATATGGATTTCACAGTGACTGCAATGGTTGATAATCGAGGCAATTGGTTACCATTCTATTTTAAGAGTATTAACGTTCAAGTGAGTATAATTTAAAGGTTAAAAATATATTATCACATTAATGTTATTCATATTATTTTGAAAAATTATTTTGAAATATGTCCGTAACGTCTTATTCTTTCTTATTTGCTAGTATTTTGATCCTACAAACAGTCGAGCGCTTGGTAGTGGAGTTGTCAAAGATTACAGAATTTCTAGTCGATCGCTTTCTAGTGTTGAGATTCCTATATCTGTTCTATAT